GTGGAATTTATGTGATTAAGTGTTAATTGACTGTTATGAGATTTTGGAGAGAAATCCCGTGAGATTAGCTATGGTTTTGTCAATTTATGGAAGTGCAATTACTGTTCACGGCACTGTTTATGAACACTGTTCATGCACTGATGGCCAACAATTAACGGGGATTTAAATGTTTAGTTTGTAATATAAGAATAAATTTGGAGAGGTCTAGTCATGTGGAGATTGATAGAAATAGCATCGTGATTAGGGGCAGTCCTAATGATGATTTTACTTTGAATTTGTGGTACTGCAAAATTAATTTTTGGATATTTTGATTAGGTTCTTGATCGTTTTGTCAGTTAGCACTGAGATCGAGTATTCGGTTTTATGCGAGTGAGGTAAGTAAATTTATGGTAATGCCCATACAGTTTTTAAAAGCATGTTTTGATTGTTTTTGAAGTGGTGGTGGAACTAAACCCATTTTATACAAAAGTAAGTATGACTGATTTGAAGTTAAATTTTTATGCTTTTCATTAAATTGAGCATGCCTACTTGAAATTTAATTGATTGTCTTGATGATTTGAAAGTGATTGGTGAATTATGATTTTTCTGTTAACTTCTGCCTGTTTTGTCTCCGATGTGGTCATGTTATTAGTGATCTGCTTGTAATATCCCAAATTTTCGGGAATTTTATCATTTAAGTTAGGGACTTGATTGTGAGAAAAGATTGTTTTGGGGCTTAATGTGAACATTTCAAAAGTTGAGGGACTTAAAAAAGGGAAAAAAATTTGGATAAGGATGGCTTCTTTTCTTTTTCTTTTTCCTTCTTTCTTTCTTCTTCTTCCCCGCGTGCTTCTGCTCTTCCTGACCCTGCTGCAGCCGAGAGGAAAAAAAAGAGGGAACAGGGCACCAGCTTTGAGAAACCGGTAGAGAGCTTGATTTTTGGCCTTCTTTTCTTGTTCTAACACTGAAATGGAACCCAGAAATTCTCCCCCCCTGCAGGAAGCTTCCGGATCTGCTCTGCTCCTCCCTTCCTCACTGCTGGCTGCTCTTGTTGTGGGTGCAAATTCTGGGCATTTTTAGGTAAGAAACAGCCATTAATCCATCCTTTTAGCCTTGATTTAACTTGGGTTTATCTTAATTGCTCTTCGTTTCTTGAATTTTGGGTAGACCCGTGAGTCCCCTTGAATTTTCTGCAAATTGCCGCCGGCCCTCCCCAAGCCACAGCTCCGGTTCTTGCTGGATTTATGGTATGTGACAGCCCCTTTTAAGCTTAAAATTACCCATTAGTTGCTAAGTTGTCCATGAATTATTGCTGGCTGTGTTGTCCGAATTTGACAGAAAATTGGGGAGGAATTCCGGTAGTTTTAGGACAAATTTAAGCATTAGTTCAAGTGAAATTTATGTTATTGAGTGTTAATTGACTGCTGTGTGATTTTTGGAGAGAAATCCCGTGAATTAGCCATGGTTTTGCCAATTTTGGAAGTGCAGTTACTGTTCACGTCACTGTTCACGGGCACTGTTCACATGTTACTGTTTACACACCGAGGGTCAACAATTAACGGAAATTTAAATGATTAGTTTGTGATATAAGGGGGTGATCGTATAAATTTGGAGATATATGATAATGTGGAGATTTATAGAAATAGCATCGTGATTAGGAGGTGATCTTAATGATGATTTCAGTTTGAATTTATGATAGTATAGAATTAATTCGTGAATATTTTGATTAGGTTGCCAATCGTTCTATCAGTTAGTACGTGAATTGAGTGCTCGGTTTTATGTGAGTGAGGTAAGTAAATTTATGATAATGCCCGTATAGTTTTTAAAAGCATGTTTTGATTTGTTTTTGAAGTGGTGGCGGGACTAAACCCGTTTTACACGAGCATGACTGATTTGAAGTGAAATTTTTATACTTTTCATTAAATTGAGCATGCCTACTTGAAATTTAATTGATTGTCCTGATGATTTGAAAGTGATTGGTGAATTATGATTTTTCTGTTAACTTTAGCCTGTTTTGTCTCCGATGTGGTCATGTTATTAGTAACCCTGCTAGTGGGGGTTAAACGCTAGCACATGTCGACATGTATTTCTGTAGAGCCGGTTCCTCCTGCCAGTGGGAGTTGTTAAACACTGGTATTTCAGTGACCCTGCTAGTGGGGATTATACACTAGTAATCGTGTGCTTGCCAGTGGGAGGTTTATAACACTGGCTGTGACCTATAGAGGTGACGTCTATTTGTTCCCGTATTGTATCCGTTTTTCGTAATTACACATGTTGGCATGCTATAAGTTTAATATGGGGCACTCCAAATTTTACTTACTGAGTTTATCTCATAGTTTTTCCTTGTCCATCATTTTAGGAAAAGAAATCGAGGACGGGAAAACCATAGGAAATGACGAGTTAGAAGGCTAGTCATTTTGTAAATTGAACATAGATTTAGAAATAAATCATGATCTTGTAAACCAGAGTGTATTTGGAGATTTTATGATATTAGAGTAAATTTTAAAGATTTGGTGGTATCAGATTGTCAGATGTGAATT